TCGATATTGTGCCGAGTGTATAATAGGATTACCGATCTATCCAGCGTAAATATTAATTGCCCAGAATGCGCTACGGCGATAGTGGCGTAAGTGGCGACCGTAAATTGCCCGGCAGCACCTCCCTCTTACCGCGTATATAAATCCTCGTCGTCGTAGAACGCAGAGAAGAGGCAGAGAAGAGGAGAAGAGGTGAGATCTCTCTTCATGGCGCATGTCCCAGGTGGTCCACAATGTCAGTGGAAATATAATGTAACCTGGCAACCGTTTATGACAATTATGGCCAATAGCGAATTACCAAGTCACGCAAACAGCTAAACGTTCTCGACATAAAATGATTCATATTAAAAATTCGTGCAGAATAGTTATATCGGTAAATTATAATCATTGTAATCATCATAATGGTGATAATATTAATTTTGAAAGTTCTTAAAATTTAACTGTCATCAAATTTTAATCAATATCCTATTATTTAAAAAACGAATAGATAATTTTTAATATCCAATAAATTTTAATTTTATAAATGGAAAAAAATATTTTTACAGATTGAATCGTTTATCATTTTATTATATCGTCAATATACCAAATATTCTATATATGATATAAATGCGCGTGCGATATTTACAAGCGATTAAAATTTGATCGACGATTTGATAAATGAATCCAATTGAAATCTAACGGTTAGTGTCCTGCTACAAATATGGTCATACTACTTTTATTTGTGATTAGTGAGAATCGGAAATTCTGTGAAAATTCTTCGTAAAAATTCTAGCAGCGCAAATAATCGCAGACGAGTAGCCATGAATGAACTGCATCTTTCGGCGCCGCTTCGATGCCGCTGCAAATTTTATCGCACGTTATTCGCGAGGTCAGCTCGATCGAGATCATCCTTCCTGCCATTAACTAACATTTTACGACGGCTATCAGAGTCGATTACAAAGTGGCGGGTATTGAGGTTTTATGTAATTTTTCGAAGAGCCGGCATATTTATACGCCAAGAGGAACCATTTTCAGTTTTATGACGGGCGGAGCAGTAGTAAAAAGCTAATTGCTGAATAACTGAAATGATGCGCGTATACTTGTTTAAAATGTTAAGGAAGAAAGTGGCGAATAAAGATGCGGAGAAGAGTAGAGGAATTTTAATACTTCTCACAAATTTTATAATTTTTAAAGAAATTAAAGATATTAAATATGTATTTATTTTAAGCGATTTAAACTACAATGAAATACGCTTTAATTCTTTAAATTTAAAGCTTTAATTCTTATATATTTTCTTTGTAAAATATAAGAGAGAACTTTTCAGTAATTATACACACGTGTGTGTGTGTGTGTGTGTGTGTGTGTGTGTGTGTGTGTGTGTGTGTGTGTGTGTGTGTGTGTAATATAATCATTTCAAGTAATTAATTTTTTTTAATGAAGAGTGAATTATTCTGTCGATTTTAATTTCTCTCTTAGCTCTTAATATTAAAGGTATCTGTAATATTCTTTCGCGAAATTTAATATAAACCATCAATGCAATATCGCATTTATATATAATTCAGTTTAATTTAATTTTATTAATTGATCTTATCGCTATATTTAATGCTCTTTTTCTATTCATTTGTCAATCACTTGTCAATAATTCCAGGCAATATTTTAACTAAAATAATATATTATTATAAAATTATTAATGTCTATATTGAGACATATAAATTTTTTTATATTTGTAATATATTTTATAGTCATATATTATCAAAAATTAATCTCTCTGATAAATACAGTCATACAATACATCACTATATTCATTCCATCTCTCATCGCATTATTTTCTTCTTATTTCTAAAGATGCGTATTTACAATGCAGGAACTCGATTCAACATAAGCATTACTAATTCTCCGCCACTCGATTCGTATACCACGACTCCGCAATTCTTGAAAATGCAGTTAAGAATGGTATCAAATCTACAACATCCTAACTATCTACCTACTTTTGAGAGCACATAAAACCTTTTTTGAGTCCCGGCGGTACAACGCGAACGATTCTGACTTATCTGTCGTTTGGATTACTACGGTTCTTCCCCATACCCGCCTATATGCGTGCGTATACATGTGCGTGCTATGCATACGAGTATCACGTGTGCGTGCACATATGCCTGTAACAGCAAAGGGAGTAGAAGGAAAGGAAGGCAGAATGAAGGCAGAACACTGGAAACGCAACTACGATGATGCTGCATGGATTAGGTGCACTGAGGTGTATGATAATGGCACAGGAATAGAGAGGACACGTCGTCTCTCTCCAACCCCGATCTTCATCGTTTCTCCTCCTTCTCCCGTGTGTCTCAGCCGCGACCCCTCTTGAACACGTCGCTCTGAAATTGCTCTCGAGATACCGTTGCTCGTTAATGCTCGCATGCATTCTGTTCATCGTTACGTTCTGAACCTATCGGGCGCTAGCCAGCCCTTTCTTCCTCTCTTCCTTTCACTTCATCTTCCTTCGTTTACACGATGATGTATTCATTTGACATCAAGGTACCGCGCTTTGCTTTAACTAAGAATACCTCTAAGTACGCAGGTGGGGATGCTTAGAAAATCCTCAAAAAATTTTATTTTTATAGTTATATTTTTTAAATATTTTTAATATATGCAGAGTTAAATTTGCGTTATATCTTTATAAGATGGTGGAGCGAAAAAATAATAAACTTTAAGACTTCTGAGCATATATTTTATGTTTCTTTTCTGGTAAACGATTTTTAAGATAATTATATGTGTAGCCACCTGCCTACTTAAAGATTAATAAATTGTAATGTATCGAGAAGTATTCATAAAAATTAATGAAAAAACTGTTTTGTTATTTACATGATTGAAACATTTTTGTAATCGTTCTTCGATAAAATATTCGTAAAAAAAATTACGTTTATATTTTTGTAATGTAATCTCAAAAACGTTCATGTTTCTCATTCTTCATGATTTAAACATTTAAGTTTTGTAACTGTACCGTGAACAACGTCAGATATTCGAATATTTTTTTATTTTCTCACTAGAAAATAGTAGAAAATCTTGGATTTATGAACAGAAAATGACGCCCCTCGCGTATTGGGCCGCGCCGGCTGGCGTACCTCAGCAATGCGGGTTTTTCTTCAACTTCCGCGATCAGTTACACGTCGTCGGAGATTGCAGCTGGCTCGCACAGTCGGGCTAATATGCGAGAAAAGAAATGGTCCCGAGAGAAATTTGTAGGCACTGCCGTCGACGTCTGAACAGATTTCTTTTCGACAGAGTACCCAAACCCTCAAAAGTCATTCTCATAACTTTCACTCTCACGCGTATGCTTCATGAAAGTGATGATAGACTAACAAAAAATACAAAACCGAAATTATAAGAGTGTGTACGAAGCACGTATATACAAATTGGAGTTTAGAAATTCTATATGTCCAAGAATTGAAATTGTCAACGAAATTGATGCACATGTTATTTTTGGAGCATAAAGAGATATTCTCAGGACAACATACGTATTTAAAATTGTTAAGACGTCTGATGATTTTAGATTTTGTGTTGTATAGTTTGTTATTTCTCATTCAAAGTAAAAGTTTTATGTATAAGTTCACATCAAAAATATTTTAAATTGATTGTATGTATAAATATTAAGGTTCAGAACATTTGTTTATCACTCAAGCTATTTGAACACATATTAAAGTATCAGTATATATACGGAAGGACCGATTTTGCTAAAGTATCCAAAAATTTAGCTAGATACAAATTTAAAAATAATTTTGTAGGACCATCAAAATAATTACGTAAGAATCTCAAGTATGATGAACAATGCTGCAAAGTTTTGACCTTCTAGCAACCAGTTAAAGTATCCATAATTATTTTGATGATCCAACCAAATTATTTTCAGATCTATGCCTAGTTAAATTTTTAGATATCGTTTAGCAAAATCATTATTTTCATATATAAGAAAGGAGATATTTTAAAAATAAATTATAATGTGACATTTTCTCACAATTTATGTTAAAGATATTGATTAAATACTTAAAAAATGTAAGATTCTTGCTACAGAAAAATTACTAAAAAAAACTTGCAACATGCAAACATATACATACCTTCGTACATACACATACACATACACACGTCGATGAAATCTCCTAAATCAATTAACACGAGAACGGTTTAATTCTACGAGCGTGCTACGGTATGTTCCCGGACTTAACATGCCGGCCGAAACCTCTCATCTATCTCACAGGGTTTTCCAAGGTTTACGGCAACAACGATCTTCCGCTCCCTGCGCATACACCTCATGGCCACTTCCACCTCGTTATTAACCTCTTCGAGATAACTTTCATATTTTGTTTAAAATTTGTAGGAGAACATACACGTTAGAGTCCATCATAAACTCACATAATTAAATTTCTAAAAAATGCGACTGAAATAATAGACGATAAAAAACAATGAACTCACAGATAAAGTCTTTTGTCAGATAAATAATTCATCTAATTAATAATGCACTGACTATTAATGCAAAATGATTTCGTGCACAGGCATGTATTTGTTTCCTTTTGCAGCAAAACATAAAATTTATGTCTCTTGATTTCTAGCAAGTGATAATTCAACTTAACACCTTATATGCTTGTATTATACACACATATATGTACATACTTTGACGTTTACTTTCAAACAAAGAATCTTTTGAAAAACATTCCGTTTTCCATTACAATTTCCCGAAGCAAAACCAGCCAGCACAATCCTGCACAACGGTTGTAGTCACCGATGTGACAATTTAAAATGTGCTCGTTGCAAAGTTAAAGAGAACACGCGGAAGGCGGCGGGATGCAAAACTGGCTTCTGCCTGCGGCGTGGCGAGTCGCGACTTCGCGAGAGACTCTACGGGACGTGCAGCGCGTAAATATCCGCACGCGTGTAGTCAGCTCCTTAATTGGCACAAGGATCGAGGGGGGAGGGGGGAGGGGGAGTTACCTGTGGCAAGGAACCGCGATCCGAAATCGTAAATACTTTCTCGCACTCACCTATATTTCGTGCGACGACGGCGCAGCCGTTGGTTAAGAACCACGCAAGTAGCAGACTGCCGAGGATCGGAGCTCCTCCTTTCCGTCGACCCTTGCGGCACTCCATCGTGAGGTTCCGAGCTCCGACTACGCCTGAAAGCAGAGAAAGAAACGATCACGCTCTGTGCATTGGGGCGTGCTGCTTCGCCGACGGCTCTTGCACTTTGCGCCAACTATGTGTACGCTCACCCCGGAGTGCATCGCGATTTCCGAGAACACATACATTCGGTATGCCAAGATTGGATGCCGCCACGTTATTATTGCATTTACGTAAATCGTACACTTTATCAGGTGACCATCCTTACGTTCTCTATCTTGTTTGTTCTTTTTTTTTTGTACAGAGACGCACGGTCGACTTACGGTCGCAATTACGTAGAAATCGCGATTCAGACCATGATATCATACATGCGGTGCACGTCATAAACTAGATTAAAGTATAGATAGATATGGTGAATAGATATAAATATTCGGTATACTGAAATTAAGAAAACTTGCATGTCGTGTGTATGAAACAGATATTATTTCACGACATAATTTTTCTTATCTTTCTAAAAAAGATTTAAAATTGCATAGAAAGAAGGTTTTGTTGAAATATCTAAAAATTAGCTAGCTGTAGATAATCTGAAGATAATTATACTAATCAAAATAATTATGTAGAGCGCTCAAGCATGATGACAAGCATGATGCTTTAAAAAGTTTGACAATCAGCTTGGGCGTTTAATATAATTATTTTGATGGATCAATAAAATTATTTTCAGATCGATATCTATTTAAAGAACAGTTAAAATACAGTCTTCAAATATTATAATCACAATCGTATTATAAAGCTTAAAGTTGTACGTTTTAATGATTTCAAATAAGTATTTTTTAGCTGCTTTTATACAGATTAAAAAATCCTTTTCCACAATTAAAGTATAAAGTATAACGTAAATTAAATTAATTGACTTTATGTCAAAAACGAAAAAAAGTTGAAAAATTACAGTTTTATTCAACCTCTGATCGACTTATAACAATATTACTTTATATACAAGTTTTATACTTCGTACATGTAAAACAATCTTGATTTGGGCTACAGATTACATGAACAAATAATATTGAGTTTTTAGAATTAGGTTTAGATACTTAATATGAAAGATTAGCTAGTTAGAAAATTTGTATGTGTGCGTGTAATATTGCTACAGTATGATGTATTATGTGTCAATGTACATCGTGTGTAAGTTCTACTAAATTGATAAAACATATGACTTCAGAAACCTCTGAAGATATTATTTAAGACAATTTTAAAATAAAAGACTAGAGTCTACTATAAATACGATCCTTCACTTCAGACACTTCAACAAAATCGTTCTTTCTGTACTTCTTTAGGTTTAAATTATTAATATCGTATTAATAGATTCAAATAATTCTATTGATTGCCTCATATTTCAGATACGTTCCGTTTTGCGCTTATAGCATTTGTAATCATCATTCGTTCTTGTTTAATATTTAATAGACAACAATGAATTGATGCTTACAGCGTGTAAATGTGAAAACGAAATGCACTCATTATGTTATTTTTTAAACATAACGCGTATGGCATATGATTATGGATCGCAGTTCACCACCCTAATTCATCTTGTTCCACCTATTGCACAATGCACACTGTTTTTATTCGATAGAATCGCGCCGTGTTCGCGCGGTCTGCAAATTTCGAAACGCTGACACCAAAATTGTTTTCCTTTTTCGTCTTCGTTAACCTACATTCACGCAAATGCACACATATCCCCAACCCCTTCGCTTCGCTAGACACGCGGATTAAGCTGATTTATAGTGTTTACCAGCGATGCTCGCTCGATTTTTCCTATGTCGCGCGTGCGCCCTGTCGACCTATCAGTTTGTCGAAAAAAA